CATGAGATGAAATAAGATGACAGGTCAGGGTGTATGACACAGGAATGAAGACCATTCTACTCTACTAGAATTGAGTTGACCATAAGAAATGTTGGGGACTTGTTAAAATTGTGGGAAGAGCTTTATCTTCTAGATGGCTAAACTGATGGAGGGTCCAAATTTATTTATGAGTGCCTAAATTATTGTGTTCATATAAATAAAACATTTCAAGATACCTACTTTCATTAATCACTATACTTATTATCAGGAAGTAGATGTTCAACTGACCCTCGTAAAAGATGTGCTGTTTAAGAAAGCTCAGGAGTTACAGACTGAGACGATGAAAGAAAAAGCGGTTGTATCAGAAATTGAAGGAACTCGTTCCTCTCTGAAACATCTCAACCATCAGTTACAAAAACTGGATTTTGAAACCTTGAAGCAGCAAGAAATTATGTACAGCCAGGTAGGTGTTACTCTTATGCATATCTTCCATATTGATTTGTTGCAGTTGTGATGGCCAAGACATGCCAGTGTTCTAAGGAAACAAAGAATTCTAAGCACTCCTTGGAGGACAGACAGATGCTGAAGGTGAGACATCGTGTTAGGTTAGTAGGAGGGTGAGGGAGCCTTGAAAGCTGTTTTCTCCCCCTGATCTGAAATAAGCAGGCAAGAGGAGAGAGAACTCTAGTGAGGGAGAACCGTGTTTTAAAGGGACCTGGGACATTTGCATCCAGAGTGAAACAAGATGGCATGAGATGCCTGAAACCCAGAAAGACTGGGTGTTGATTGTTAGTTATGCACCCCCACCCTCTCTGCCATGCCAGTAGACGAAAAGCATTTTTTTTTCAGTTTTGTCTTATTTTGTGCTATTTATATATTTGTGTTAATTTTTTAATATTCTCCATCTCTACATCTTAATTTGCTCATCTAATTTATATTCTTAGTTTTTAAAAATTACAGACATTAAAGTATAAGATTAAGAATAGTTAATTAGAAGTTGATATCTGAATGTTTCATGGCTAACAATTTGTGACTATGTGTTTGGTAGCCCTTAGAAAATGTGCCCTCAGAAATCCAAGTTCATGTAAATCCAGTGATTTACTGAGATTCCATCATGGTAGTATGATAAACATCCCCCAGCTCTGTCATATTTTCAGAAGATTCTTTCTGCGTCTATCGTGTACCTTGATTGTTGAGATACAGTTTACTTTTGTTCCTCTTAGAGTGAAAACATTTGTCCTGAATTACTGAAGGACTAAAGTGACTTCATTACAGGATAATGCCCAATCCAAACTCATAAGTATTCACTTTGTTTTTACACTTACAGAAATGCTTCTGTTTGTTTCTTTGTAATAACTATTTTTTTTTTTTTAAAAAAAACAAACTGTAACAGGATTTTCACATTCAACAAGTGGAACGGAGAATGTCTCGGTTAAAGGGAGAAATTAATTCAGAAGAAAAACAAGCCCTGGAAGCAAAAATTGTTGAACTTAAGAAGTCTTTGGAAGAGAAAAAATCTACATGTGGCCTTTTGGAAACACAGATCAAGAAGCTTCATGTAACTTAGCCAAAATACATTTTATATTTCATTTATCCTAGTCTTTCTGTTTTAAGTCAACATGTTCCTAAGACTGCTTTGGATAGGGTGTTTGCCATTCTACACACATATATAACAAATGTATGAACAATGTTCTTATTTCTGTACTATTAGTGTGTAACGTTACCACGATAAAGCATTTAGTATATGCTAAATAAATATTGTATGACATGCCTCTAGTATTTAATCTCATATACTCCTTTCAACTATCCTGTGAGGAAGATGCTGTTATCTGTCTTGTAGATTAAGTAATTTGTCCAGGTTATGCAGTATGTGGAGAGCTAGGATTTGACACCTGCTGCATTTGACTTCTAAATACTCTTCAAGAGTACACTGTTCAGAACTTTGATGAGTTCTAGTTTTCTATTTTATTTATTTATATATTTGAGATGGAGTTTCACTCTTGTTACCCAGGCTGGAGTGCAGTGGCGCGATATCGGCTCACTGCAACCTCCGCCTCCTGGGTTCAGGCAATTCTCCTGCCTCAGCCTCCTGAGTAGCTGGGATTACAGGCACGCGCCACCGTGCCCAGCTAATTCTTTTGTATTTTTAGTAGAGACGGGGTTTCACCTTGTTGACCAGGATGGTCTCGATCTCTTGACCTTGTGATCCACCCGCCTCGGCCTCCCAAAGTAGTTTTCTGTTTTATTTCTGCCACAACAAATAACTTGATTACCCTTTGTCTTTCAAATGCCATCTCCAGAGAAGCTGCTCTTTTATGAGTCAACAGTTGTTACTCAAATCTTTAATTATTTATAATATTTGAAGTGATTCGATTCTGTTAATAGGGCAAGAACGTCTTCATCTTTAGGCATTTTATTATGTTTACTGTAATATAAAACCTATGTTAAAGTTTGACTAGAGAGTAAAAGTGAGAGAGTGAGCGTGGACTTGAATGGGGTGAGAACTTAGCAGGGTCTAAATGTTACCACTGGAAAGGCTATTGATGAGTGTCCTCTGGTGGTTATAAAAAGAATTGCCCAGCCGGGCGCGGTGGCTCACGCCTGTAATCCCAGCACTTTGGGAAGCCGAGGTGGGTGGATCACAAGGTCAAGAGATCGAGACCATCCTGGTCAACATGGTGAAACCCCATCTCTACTAAAAACACAAAAAATAGCTGGGCATGGTGGTGCGCGCCTGTAGTCCCAGCTACTCGGGAGGCTGAGGCAGGAGAATTGCTTGAACCCAGGAGGTGGAGGTTGCGATGAGCCGAGATCGTGCCATTGCACTCCAGTCTGGGTAACAAGAGCGAAACTCTGTCTCAAAAAAAAAAAAAAAAAAAATTACCCTAAATTCCTTGAGGGCTGCAAAAGGTGGAGAGGTGTTACTTATTTGTTTTTTTTTTCCTTTTATTTTAAGAAGACAAAATTTTGGTTTGAGTAGTTTGTCATCTGATGAAATATTTTTAAATTGTTACCCTTGTTTAGTGGAAAAAGAACACTTGTTTTTGGATCATAATGAGTTTTAAATTTCAAGGTTATACCACTACTGCCATTTTAACTTTTCTGAGCTCTAGTTTGCTCATCTATTAAGTGGGGGGAAAGTTAATATTGTTTTAGGACATTTGGGAGAACTAGAATTTGTATCTTAGCACAGTACTTTAGTAGGTACTCAATATGTGGTATTGTTTTGATTATTTAGAATATGAGAATATTCATGCTATAGAATGTATAGCAGGATGAGATAAATGTATAGCAGGAAGAGAGATAATAAAACACAGGATTATTATAAATATCTGAGTATATAAATTAATTAAGATATATAATATAGTATGTATTTAATATTTTTGTTAATATTTAAAACATATTTATGTACCTTTTTTTCTTTTTGCAGAATGATCTTTTTTTTATCAGGAAGTCAAACAGTAAAAGCAGTGATGAAAAACAGTCCCTTATGAACAAAATAAATGAACTAAACCTGTTCATTGACAGATCAGAGAAAGAACTTAATAAAGCCAAAGCTTTTAAGCAGGTGCAGTAAAATTGTATGCATATGTAGTATTGAAAACCATGTTTCCCACTGGGGTCTATAGGGGGAAAAGGGGAGGACCAGTGGGAGGGGGAGGTGGGGAGGGATTGCCAGGGGAGAAATACCAAATGTGGGTGAAGGGGAGAAAGCAAACAAAACACACTGCCCTGTGTGTACCTATGCAACTGTATTGCATGCTCTGCACATGTACCCCAAAACCTAAAATGCAATAAAAAAAAAAGAAAACCATGTTTCCCTGTTAATTGTAGAGAAATTCAGCTAATTATGAAAAAGTCACTGTAATCACTATACCCAATATAAACAGTGTTAAAGTCTGTTATTTCCTTCCAGTCTTTTAAAGAAATTTGGCTTTTCATGGTGTATTCAAAAAATTTCTACATACCATATATTTCTTAAAACATAATTCTTTGAAAATAGTTTTTGAAAGCTTTCTGTCAGTGCATTGAATGAAGTTACCATAATTTATTTAAACATCCCCTATTTTTTAGGATTTGCTTTCTTTCCAATGCTTGGCTATGGTAAATAGTACTACATGTACAATGTACAATGCAGTCATTCAATTAGTTGTTCATTGTACAGTTATTCAGTTAGTTCCTTTGGATAAATTCCTATCTACATAATTACAGTTCAAAAAGAAATGAATATTTGTAATGTCCTGAAACTATTTTCAATCCCAATTACTCTCTAGAGGGTAACATTAATACTCCGGTAAGCATTCTGTTTTATTCATACTACTGAGGCTGGATATCCTAATTTAGAGGTTGGCAGTTCGATAGTCAAACATGGAATCTTATTGTTTTAGTCTGCATTTTCAAAGTTGGCAGTTTAAAAATATTTTGTTCAATGATAAATTTTCAAACATTTATGCTTAAATAAAAATGTTTAAAACACTTTCTCTGGTAGGTCTTGCTCCATATTTTTTCTCTTTGGAGCTCTAGTTGGTATTCTTGGCCTGTTTTTCCACTGGGAGGTTTACATACATAAATTGCTTTACAAAAGATATTCATCTGTAAAAATATTATCTCTGTCATAAATATTGTAAATATTTTCCCCATTTACATTTTTATTTAGTATTTGTGACATAAAACTTCTTTAACCATCAAATCTTTAGGTTTCTTTTTTCTTTTGAATTTTTATGCTTAGAAACTTCTTGGTTACACCAAAAATCAGACCAATGTTTATTATGTCTAGTAGTTACACTGGTCTCATCTCTTAAGATTTTTCATTCATCTAGAATATATTTTTGGTACACGTGAGATGTAAGTATCTAATCTCTCCAACTGAAAAGCTATGTTTATGAAATAATAAAATCTGATACTATGGAGCGTTTGATTCTGGGCTTTCTATTCTGAAAACTGATTGATATGTGTATTCTTATGTCAGTATTGTACTCATGACTGAATTGTTTTAAGATAAAAATATATTTCCACATTATTTTTGTGAGCTTCAGAGTATAAAAATGGCCATTCATAAGGACTTCATGTTTTCTAGATAGTATAAGTTTAATTTCAGGAATAACTTCTTCCTTTTGTTTTTTATAATAGCAAAGCTTGACTTTAACATTGAATTATAAAAAAGATTTGAAATAACCATAAACCCTTTTCTTAAAAGAAAAAAAACCTATGACTCTGAACAATTTAAATTCAGCCCTAGTTAATATCTTGGTCAATGGTTAAGTTAGAAAAAGTTATATTTTCAAGTTTGACTTATGTAATAGTAAAAAGAAAAATATTGTGGTTTTGTGATAAAAAATAATTTCAATATTTGACCATTTTGTTACGCTGTTAGGATTTAATGATAGAGGACAATCTTTTAAAACTTGAAGTTAAGCGTGCCCGAGAAATGCTTCACAGTAAGGCAGAAGAAGTTCTTTCCCTGGAAAAAAGAAAACAGCAATTACACACAGCTATGGAAGAGCGAACTGAAGAAATTAAGGTTCATAAAACAATGCTTGCATCACAAATAAGATACGTTGATCAAGAACGGGAAAACATAAGGTAATTTTTAGTTTTAAAACACTGCTGAGGAACTCTGAAAAAAAGAAAAAGTAAGGATGTCGGGAGAACTGGCTGCCCCTAACATCCTGGATTGCATCTTTTTCTTATTCGTTTGAAACGGCTTTTCATATAAGACATAGGGCATGTTATAGCCATAAATCTAGGCTCTTCTTCAATCTTTGGATTGTCCCTTTTACATTAAGATCACTAATCTACTTGGAATTGCTTTTCATGTATGGTTTTTGTTAAAGTCCAATAACATGTCTTTTATAAAATAGATATTCAATAGCTGCATCTATTGAAGTGATTTCATCATAGACATTTTGCACATCTTTATGTGCAAAGATTATTTCCGGCTACAAGTTTTTTTAATGTTACTGTCAATTTCATTTTTGGTTTGTTGCCGGTATGCAGAAATACAGTTGATTTCTGTATATTCAGCAACCTTGCCTAACAATCTTGTTCCAACAATCAGTAGATTCTAATTCTTTATACTGTATTACATTTATATTGTTTTCAAACAATGTTTTGTTTCTTGCTTTCCAATTTTTATAACTTTTCTTTTTTCCCAGTTCAGTACTGAAGAGCAGTGTTGATTACAGGTATCTTTGTCTTGTTACCTGATCTCAAAGGGAGAGCTTTCATTGTTTTTTCATTAAGTATAAAGTTTACTATAGTTTGTTTCTGGTTCTCTTAGATACCTTTTACCATATTAAGTGAGCCCCCATCTATTTTTAATATTTACTAAGAGGTTATTTTAATTTGTTTAATCAAGAGTGGATGTTACTTTTATTATATGCTTTCTCAGGATTCATTGACAAGATGTAGCTTCTTCAATCTGTTAATGTGTTTAACATACAGATCAATTTTTCAAAATCCAACCAACCTTACATTCTAGAATAAACCCAACTTGTCTGTTACATATTACCTTTTGCATACATCTAGATTTTGTTGGGAATATTTTGATACAACTTTTGCATCTATATTCATGTGTACAAACCCATAGTTCTCCTTGCTCTACTGTGCTTGTCAGGTTATCAAGCTATTAAGGTTATGTCTGCCTTCATAAACTGACTTGTGTGTATTTCTTATTTTTCTCTAAATATGTTTCTAAAAGAATGGAATTGTATCTTTTTTGTTTTTCAAAGACCTCACTGGAAAAGAAAAGCCATTGGGAGCCTGAAGTTTTCTATGGGGAACATTTTCAACTATTGGTTGAAAAAGTTGAATAGTTTTGCTGGTTACAGGACAATGCAGATTTTGTATTTCTTATTGATTCCATTTTGGTAAACTATATTTTTCTCTAGGAAAAATTTTCTATATCCAAATTTCAAATTTATTGCCATAAAGTTGTTTATGATTTTATTGTTTAATAGTTGTAGCATTTTTAGAGATGACTCCTTTTATATTCCTGACATTGGTTATTTCTTTATCCACTCGTTGGTTGATTGGCATTTAGGCTGGTTCCAGTCATTGTTTTAATAACTCAACTCTACCACTGTAGACTTTTGGGGCAGGGTAAGTCTCACCACAGGTTAATCCGTTTTAACATTATTTGGAAAGGATCTGCTCTTATCAGTATCTTCTATTGTCCATTCATTATTAGTTTCCGATCTTGCCTTTCCTATTTTTCCTTCTTTTAAAAGGGGGGTTTAAATGTTCTTTTCCTAAATTCTTCAGGTGCTTAGCTTATTAATTTTCAGCTTTGAAGTCCGAAAAAATACCTTTAAGTGTTAGCTGCATCCCACAAATGTTAATATTGCCATTATTTTCTTTTTTGCCTTTCAATTGTCATAGACTTTTACTTTTTCAACTTTATTGAGGTATATTTGAGGTACATAAGTTGCACATATTTAAAGTATACATTTGATAGGTTTTGACATGTATAATATTACCAGAGAAACCATCACCACCCCCAAGATGGTGTTTCTATCACCTCTAGAAGTTTCCCTGTACCCCACTGTAATTCCTCCTTTCGGTACCTCCCAATGTTTCTCTCTCTAGACAACTGATCTGTTTTTTATCCTTATAGTTCAGATTGTATTTTCAAGAGTTTTATATAAATGGAATCCAATCGTAGGTCCGTCTTTTGTCTGGCTTTTTTCATTCAGCATAATTATTTTGAAACTCATCCATGTTGTGGATATCACTATACATGACTTTTTATCAGGGTTGACACATTTTTCTCTGAGAGCTAGATAAGTAACTTATAGTTCCTTGCAGGAACTTCCATACGGTCTTTGTTTTATTAGTTTTGTTTGTTTGTTTTCTTTTTTTGATTTTTTTCTCTTTTTTTGAACTTCAGTTCTATGTTTTATAATTTTTTTTCTAAAAATTTATTTCAATAGTTTTTGGGAAACAGGTGGTTTTTAGCTACATGGATAAGTTCTTTAGTAGTAATTTCTGATATTTTGGTGTACCTGAAGCCAAGCAATGTACAGTGTACTCAAGGTAGAGTCCTTTATCCCTCAGGCCCCCTTACAGCCCCAATAAGTCCCCAAAGTCCATTATATCATTTTTTACGCTCTTCCATCCTCGTAGCTTAGCTCCCACTTATAAGCAAGAATATAACAGTATCTGGTTTTCCATTCCTGAGGTACTTAGAATAATGTTGCCAACTCCATCATCCAAGTTGCTGCAAATGCCATGATTTTCTTCTTTCGTGGCTGAGTGGCATTCCACGGTGTATATATACCACATTTTCTTTATCCACTCCTTGGTTGACTGGCATTTAGGCTGGTTCCAGTCATTGTTTTGATACCCACTGTAGACTGAAAGCTGCCACAGACAATATGTCAAAAAACGAGCATGCCTATTTTCCAGTAAAACTTTGAGTATTGAAATTTGAAATTTTCATGAAACATAATTCTTTTATTTTTCTAATCACTTACATATTTAAAAGTCATTCTTTGCTTGTGGGTTACACAAAAGCAGGTGGCAGGCAGGATGGTTTGCTGACCCTGGCTCTCTCTTGGTAAATAGCAGTATTCCACTGCATGTTTACTCCCATCTGTTTATCCATTTACCTGCTGATGGACATTTGAGTTGTTCCCAGTTCTCAGCTGTTATAAACAAAGGTGCTGTGAACATATGTATTCCTGGCATGGGCATATGCTGTCTTTTCTTTTACTTAGGAGTAAAATTTTCTTTCTTTTTTTTTTTTTTTTGAGATGGGGTTTCACTCTTGTTACCCAGGCTGGAGTACAATAGTGCGATCTTGGCTCACCGCAACCTCCGCCTCCTGGGTTCAGGCAATTCTCCTGCCTCAGCCTCCTGAGTAGCTGGGATTACAGGCACTCTCCACCATGCCCAGCTAATTTTTTGTATTTTTAGTAGAGACGGGGTTTCACCATGTTGACCAGGATGGTCTCAATCTCTTGACCTTGTGATCCACCCGCCTCGGCCTCCCAAAGTGCTGGGATTACAGGCTTGAGCCACTGCGCCTGGCCCACTTAGGAGTAAAATTGCTGGATCATGTAGTAGGTACATATTTAACCTTTCAGGAAACATTAAGAAATTGCCATGTATTATTTCTATCTTTCCTGCTTTTCATTGGTTTTGCTGAATTTTGTTTTGCTCTTTATTTGGGAGGTATACATTCTAATTTTAATTATTTTGCTGGTTATTCTTAGATTTAAAAGAAACCTTAATTATTTCTCTATGAATATTGAAAATTAGTTTGTAAGATTTTCCCTTCCTAAAAAATAAGACTTTTAGCATCTTTTACCTCTTCTTTTCCTCTTTCCATCATTCACATATTGTTGAAACAGTGATTATAGTTTGTTATTGTTTTTAATATTATGTCCGGACTTTTTAAAGAACTCCTTAATGTGCACTAAGCTGTACAGCCAAATGCCAGCAATAATTTATGACTACCTGTGTTTCGTTTCTTAATTTTTTCATGTATCCCGTTATCATTCTATTTTCTTGTATTTCATTTTTTGGAGTATGATTTTTGAATTTGTTTTTTTGAACTGATGTTTTCTGAAATTTTGCAATCCTTGCATGTTTAATATATATTTATTCTTCCCTAAACTTGAATTAGAGAACATGGTGAAACATTGTTGCATATTCTGCTAGATTACAGTGTTGTTTATGAGAAATCTGATTATAGATAAATTTATTCTGTATGGAAACTGGGTATTGTTTTCTTTCTGGAAGTTTTGGGATACTCTATCCTTGGTGTTTCAAAATTTTCTTGCCTGTGTCCGGGTGTTTTGCCATTTTTAAGTTTCTCTTTCTTGACCCTTCCTGGGTAAACTCTTTTAGTTATTTAAAAATTGTTGTCTTAGGATCAGGGGTACACATGCGGGTTTGTTATACAGGTAAACTTGTGTCATGGGGGTTTGTTTTACAGATCATTTCATCACCCAGGTACTAAGCCTAGTACCCAATAGTTATATTTTCTGTTCCCCTTCCCCCTTCACCCTCCACCCACCAATAGGCCCCAATGTCTGTTGTTTGCCTCTTTGTGTCCATGAGTTATCAGTTAGGTCCCACTTATAAGTGAGAACATGCAGTGTTTGGCTTTCTGTTCCTGCATTAATTTGCTCAGGAAAATGGCCTCCAGCTCCATCCATGGTCCCATGCAAGACAAGATCTTATTCTTTTTTAATGGCTACATTGTATTCCATGGTGTATATATGCCACATTTTTAAAATCTGTCACTGATGGGTATTTGGGTTGATTCCATGTCTTTACTACTGTGAAGAGTGCTATGATGAACATTCGTGCACGTGTCTTTATGATAGAATGACTTACATTCCTTTGGGTATATACCCAGTAATGGGATTCCTGGGTTGAATGATACCTCTGTTTTTAAGGTTTTTTTCTGAGTTACCACTATATCAAATTTATTATTCCAGTGGCACTAGTACA